GGAGTGAGCAGTTGAAACCTCGTACTCGGTGAGGGAAGGAAATCGATTTCTTTCCTCTCCTCCTGACCCTTCAACTCTGAAAACTTCTCAGCATCCTCGCTGGATGCTCCGCCGTGCTCTGCTACTTCCCCAGACACCCACGAGCTCCTCCCCCCTTGATGTTCCGTCTCCTCTTCCTCCTCTTCCTCCTCTTCCTCCTCTTCCTCCTCCTCCTCCTCCTCCTCTGCCTCCTCCACCCCTGCATCCTTGATTATGTCGGCTTGTGAGCTTCGCTTCGGTCGCGCGCGGTCTTGCATTCCCTTCATCATGTCCTCCAGCTCCCCTGCACGCGCTTGCCGAGAACCCACCCGGAGGAGCGAGTCGAGGTCGACCCCTCCGACTTCCTGAAACCAAAACGTCATCCCCATACTCTTCCTCCCCCCTTCTCGCTCTCCCACCCCTCTTCCCCAACCTCCGTCTCCCTCCTCCTCCTCCTCCATCAACATCGTCACCATCATCGGTACCTCGTGTATGTTTGTCTTCTCGCACTGTCCATCACCATGTCCCTCATTCGTCTTGCTGGAGCTGTTGTCTGGAGAGATTCTCGGCTCGCTACCGCCTCCAGCCTTGAGATTGACTGCTGCTGCCTCCTCCTCGCCGCAGAACAAGCTCCCAACGCCCCTGTGCTCGACGACTGTCGTCCCTGCTTCTCCTGCTTCCCCTCTCTCTCCACGCTCTACGTGCATCCCTCCCTCCTTCACTTCCCCATGATCCTTATCCACCGTCACCCCTTCTTCCTTTTTCACCACCACCTCCTCCTCCTCCTCCATCGTTGTTCTCTCGCCCTCGTGTTTGCTCTTGCCAGCCCCACTACTGTCCTTGTTTGCGCCAATGTGATTCTCCTCCTCCTCCTTCTCCTCCTTCTCCTCCTCCTCCTCGTCGCCTCCCTCCTGTATTTCTATGTGGCCCTTGCCATTGCCCTTGCCCTCATTATCCTCCCGCTCCTCCTCCCCGCTCCACGTCTCCTCTTCTCCCGCAGTTGACTTGTCATCTAACTTTTGAATGGCGAGCAGGAGCAGTTTTGAAAGCTGAGAATCACTGTTTTTCAGAGCTGAAGGCAGCACTCGTCATGGAAAGCAAGCACTTTGAGAGGAGATGGAGGGGAGGGGAGGGGAGGGGAGGGAGAAGGGAACAGGGTTGGTGGAGCACTTGCAAGAAGGCAAGGACGAGAGGAGGACAAGATAGGGCTGTACAGGAGTCGACAGGGGAGTGGAGGAGGAAGGGGGGGAGCATGGGAAGGAGGAGGAGGAGGAGGAGGATGGGAACGAGGAATGTCTCCCTTACTTCGTCTGAGATCCTCGGCAGAGGATTCCTCCATGTTTGTGAATAGGTGTTGGCCCTCCTGCAGCAGCCGCCGCAGGCTCTGCTCCAGCGACTCCTCCTCCTGCTCTGCCCAGTGAGACGAAGTGGGAGGGAGCGAGAGGAGCGTGAGGAGGAGGAGAGCTGGAGGGGAGCAGGTGAGAGACTAGACCTGGATGTCCGAAGAAGATGTCTCGACGGCAAGCAGAAGGAGGTTGCTGAGCAATGAGTCCCTTCTCTTGAGCGCTGGTCAAGGCAGGCGAGTCACTCGGATCAGTAGACAAGACGTGAAGCGCGGAGAGAGGAGGGAGGGAGGGAGGGAGGGAGGGAGGGAGGGAGGAGGAGGAGGAAAAGAGAGAAGAGAGAACAAGGCGATGGAGTAGGGAGCAAGCCAGGCAGGAAGGAGGAGAGCATACCGTCCAACAAGCTCGCAGCGTCAGGGCTTTCGATGGAGGACAGGAGGAGGCTTCCTTCAGAGAGGATCTGACTAACGAGGGAGGACAAGTTGAGACGGATCCGCTCGTTGCCGCCCCAACGCTCCTCCTCCTCCTCCTCCTCCTCCTCCTCCTCCTCCTCTCTCCTGTGCGTTCCGGTCTGAGGTCTGCCAAGAACGTGTCATGATGACTGGCATTTGTCTCGGGAGGCAGATCGATGCGCCTGCTGTCTCGGAGGGGTGGGGGGGTGGCTGAAAGAAGGAGGGGAGAGCGGGGGGTAAAGCAAACGAAAGGAGCGGGTGGATAAGAGTATCGAGAGGAGGAGGAGGAGGGGGAGGAGGGGCAGCAGCAGCAGCAGCAGCAGCAGCAGCAGCAGCAGCAGCAGCAGCAGCAAGCTTCACCTCTTGTAGTCATGCGGATGGTCGAGGCCATAGATAGACAAGTCTACGTCCTCCTTGATGGAGTCAAAACTCGCGTCTGCCTCCACGAAGAACTCCTCCTCCTGCAGCGATGCGTTGAGTGAGGTGCGAGGAAGGAGGAAGGAGGAATAGGAGACTTCACCTCCTCTTCTTCTTCCCTCTCGCGGTCCTTCTCCCCCTTGCCATCCTCCTCCTGCTCCTGCTTGTCTTGCTCGGTCGCCCCGCCGTCGAGGATGTCGTCTTGTTCCCCACCAGACTCAGTACCCTTGTCCTTGTCAACTGTGCAAACAGACGATCAGCAACTCTTTGAGAGAGGGGGAACGATTAATCGACGGCTACAATCACATCATCACCATCATCATCATCACCGCCGCCACCACCACCACCACCTCCTCCTCCTCTTCCATCATCACCATCACCATCATCATATGACCTGTTTCTCCATACGTCGCATCCAACAAAGATTCTGAGAGGCTGGAAAAAAACGTCTCAGGATTTCTCTCACACACACGTCCTGCTCGCCCCTCCTGTTCACTCCCACCTCCACACCTCCACACCTTCACACCTCCGCCCCCCACAGCATCCTCGTCCTCACCCAGCATCTTCGCCGTCTTCCTCTCCTGCTCCTCCTTCCTCGCTCCTTCTAGTCCGAGGTTTCCTCCTCGAACCCCGAGACGATCTGTACAGGGTCGATGCCGACTGCAAGCTCCTCTCTGTCGCAGTAGTCGCAAACAGCAAATCCTCCCCGATGTAGCTCCCGTCCCTCCCTTGCTCCAGCACCTGCATCAAGCTCTGCCTCCACTCCCTCCTCCTCCTCCTCTCCATCCTCTCCTGGCTGGACAGCATGGCGAGCTGCATGCCAAGGCTCCACGACCCTCCAGACACCATAGGCTTTGCTCCCCTGCCGAACCTTCCAAAGAGCAAGTCCTCGTGCTCGTACCTCCTCCTCCTCTCCTCGTCCTCCCTGCGCCTCTCGCGCGATTTCAGCCGCTCGAGGACGTAGGAGGCGGCTGCTCACTCGAGTCAGAGTGGACCAACTCGCTGCTTCCTCTTACCCGTCATCCTCGCCTGAAACCCTTGCGACCTGCCATGCTCTTCACCGGCACCTCCTCAGCTGTAGAAACAACAAGACTTACATGACGTTCTCCTCCTCCCGGTCGTGCCGGGAAAGCCCGCTCCTCCACCACTCCGTCTGGTCCATATTCCTGTCAGCCACGCAAAAGGGGGGAGGAGAGGAGAGGAGAGGAGAGGAGAGGAGAGGAGAGGAGAGGAGAGGAGAGGAGAGGAGAGGAGAGGGGAGGGGAGGAGAGGCACCTGCGAGCTTTGGAGAGGATAGAGCTTTTCCTTCTTCCTCTCTTTCTTCGGGGGAGAGGAGCCTTGGCAGAACAGTCAGTACTTCATCCCCCGCACCCCTCGTCCTCTCACCTCGCAGCGAGGAGAGGAACTTCTGCTCCTTCCCTAGCGGATGGACATAGCGTGCGAACTGTGGAGTAGGGAGGATCTCATTGCATACGTGCAGCTGAACTTGCTTGCTCCCTCTCTGCATCCCCACCTTCCCCTCCTGATCCCTCCCAGCGCTGTTGGCGTCTTCCTGCTGGCCGGCAACGAACTGGATCCTCCCCTCCCTTGCCAGCAGCTCGCCCCATCCTATCCCAGGGATCCCCGTGCTCTCCACGCTCATCACCAGCGCCCCCTTTCCACATCCCCTCGTCAGCAGCATGCGCCTCCTTCAAGTCGCTTACCTCTGTGCTCTTGCGGAAGACAAGGTCGTTCCATCTCGGCTCCTGCAGTGGCCTGCGCGGAGTTAGAGGAGCAGTCGATGGAGATCAAGGGAGGTATGGGCGGGAGGAGGGAAGGAGTGAGGAGGGGAATGGAGGAGAAGACAGGACAAACTGAGACAGGAATGGAGGAGAAGACAGGACAAACTGAGACAGGTATGGAGGAGGCATGGGGGGAGCAAGTTACTTGAGTTTGATGCGGTTAGGACTCTTCGAGTGGCTCGATTCGTTCCCGAGGGAGCGCATGGACCCGTCATCAGACGCCCTCCTCCCTGACTTGCTGTCGAGCTTCTTGATCCGTGGTAACCTCTCCCCCTGTCTCGGTTTCTTCCCCAGATCCCGCTCCGAGCTGCCCTGCTCCTGTGCGGATTGCCTCCTTCCCCCGTCCCTGCCTTGAGACCGCTTCTTCGCTAGCGGCTTCTTGCCTCCTCCCCCGCCTTTGTTGCTAGCCGCTTCAAGTTCACTTACATCCTGTCCCTCGGAGCCTGCGAGCGTGCCGCCTGCCCGGCCCCCTTCTTGTCGCTCTGCTTCAGCATGGAAGCGGTCAGAGGGCCCATCGGCCTTCTCCTCCTCCTTCCTCGACCTCGCCGAGTCATGATCCGCCATCACTGACTGCCGCAGTGCGCGTCAACTGCCAAACAGACTCGCAGCCGCTCTGACCGACCTCATGCAAGTTCAGTGACTCCCGGAGTCCGGCGGACTCAACGGTCGGCGGGCCGAGCACCCGGTGGCACCGTACGGTACTGACAACGGGGCCCGGGGCCCGCCGCCGGTGGCGCCCCCCCCCGCACCGGGCCCCGGCCGGGCCCGGGCCGGGCGGGGCGGCCGGGGCGCGCGGCGGGCGCCGGTCCGTCGGCGCCGCCGACGGACCCGAAGTACGGTTCCTGGCCCGGGCTTCTACACGGTACGGTACTAGAACGGAGTCCTTCAAGTCCCGCCCGGCCACTGAGTGGGGGGCTGGCCTGCCGGGTCCAGAGAGCTCAATTCACCGGCGGCGGCCGCCACTGTGCTTGCCTGCTTGACCGTGCCAGTGACAGTCCGGCACTGAGTAGGGCCTAGGGGCCGCCGGGCCGCTGAGGCTCCGAGCCGGGCGGCCCGTGACCGTACAGTGCGGCGGCCGCCGGCCGGGCCGGCGGCCGGGCCGCCAGCCTGGCCCCCGCCACAGTGCGCCGCCGGGCACACTGTCGGACCGTCCGGTGGGTGTCGGAGTCCGACCGACGGTCCGCCGGACGGTGGCACCGTGTAGGGGCCAGTCGGACTGAGTCACTGGGTAAATTAGTAGAGAGGCCCGGCATGGATCGGACTGAGTCCTTGGCAACGGTTGAACCGTGGCGCCCGGGCCGGGCCGGGACACGCGCCGCCCGGCCGCGGCGCCGGGCGGCGGCGGCCCGGCAGTCGTACAGGCTCCACCGGGCAGACGGCGGCGCCGTGCCACTGAACTTCCGAAGCAGCAGGCCGCAGCATACCTTTTCGATGCCAAAGGCCAGGTTAAAATCATAATTATTAACTTGCAAAAGTTGTCTTGAACACCCCACCCCTCATTACAAACTCAAGGTAGCCCAGGAGCACCATCTGATTTCACTATTGATGACCACCCCCCCTCAACCTTGTTGGACCCCACCCCCACAGAAAAGTCAACGTTCTTGGTTTTTATTAGATCCATTATTGTACCAAACAAAAGTTCGAGTATGACTTCACCACCCACCCCTTTGACATGGGCAGCACCCGTAGTTTACCCTGCTTTTTTTTAAGCCCTTTGATATTACGTATCTCGAGAACTTTTAAAACCCCATTTTTTTCTTCTCAAACAGTACCAGCAATTAAGTTAATCTGCTTAGTGGAAGTACCCCCCGGACCCCCTTCTGATGTACCCCACTCAGGACAACAACAATGGATCCATTACAACCCTACCCCCTACACATCCGATTCAGACCTTGATATGTGGAAAAAAGTACATTTTAAACAAAAACAAATCCACGTACGGCACGGTCGATCACCAATAAAACCACCCCACCCCACCCACCTGCTAGTAACCCCTTTTCTAGTACCCCTGCTTCAGCTGACCCCTACCCTCTACCCCCGGGGGCGTCACCAAAGTCAACCGATGGAACTACAGTGGGGACATGAAATGGAAAGGTGACAGAGGGAGAAAGGGGTAGAGGAGGAAGGGGGGTAGGGTGAGGGATCCTAGCTGAAACCAAAAGTAGGGTAGGGTTCAGAGCCATAAAGGGGTGGGGTGAACTTGTTAGGAACCAAAGTTTTGAGTGGATAAGAGATCGATGAGGGGGTGGTCAAAGAATACTTGTTGTGTTGAATGTACTGGGCATCAAAGAGGGGAAATATCATATATGTGACAATAGCAAATATCAGCAGTGGGAGAATACCAGGTAAAATGCTGTCGGAAGCGACCAATAATGTTTCTTGGGGGTGGGGTTATGGACAGGCCCAACGGGTGCATCAGGGCACTGGTCATACAAACAGGGTGGTCCAAATGCATTGGGGGGTGCTACGGAGTCTGCAGTGAACGGGGGTAGGGTACGGGTCACGCACCAAATGATGGCGGGCGAGGGATCATACGTCGAAGCCTAGAGGATCAGAAGAAACAGCAAGTTCGAAGCTCGGACATACTGCAACATACATCACCACTTTCGTTCTCTCCACTCGTGTCCTCAACAGCCTTCAAGTGAGTACAGGTCTTCCACGCCAAAGTGGATCCAATACTGGATCGGTTGTATTGTGCGGCCTTGAGGGAAAGCGAGGAGCAAAGGATGGCTGGATCGACCATTGAGGAGGAGACAAAGGCCAATACTAACCACACAAGTCATCAAGTAGAGGAGAAGAAGTCGTCTTTCCTGAATTTCTTCCTTGGGAGAAGATTCTCACTCGCTTCATCGCCAGGTTTGTCGAACAACTTCGTCAACCATGCGTTTTCTTTACTTACTGCGTTTGTCCAGCCTCCACTCACAGGGAGTTAGAGAAGCATGATCTTCACGAGACCTCAGCGATGCATGCTGAGGGTCCAAGAAGCAATCGAAGGAGGAGCTTGGCAGGGCTGGGACAATCCTGGTTCGCACGCAGCTTCAAGTCTTCACAAGACCAGTTCCATAGGTCAGAAGATCTGCCGAACCCAAAGCTATCCAAGGACTTGATCCGCCACACGTTCCCCTCCAAGAAAGGGCTGACCCTGCCTGAATCCGCCGAACTTAGCCCAGCTGGCTCGTTTCGACTAGGGTCCATGAGGAGGAACCTGAGCCATGACAACCTGCATGGGGCGGCGGATGCTTCGCCCTCTGTAGACTCGGAGGATAGGAACCTTTCAGCTAAAGGTTGTTTCTGATGCTCTATTCCTGCACCTTCTTCTGATCCCTCCTGGCAGAAACGATCAAGCGCTGCATAGTCTCGGGCACCCTCAAGTTCCGAGAGGTGAGGAGGAGAGCGTGATTATGGTCGGATGATCCGCTGATTTCTACAACAGAGGAGGATTCTTGGGTCCTCCTGGACCAGCATGTTCTGCGTCTTGAAGCGGAATGGAAAGTTTCACGTTTACACTGACAAGGTTAGCGGTCACTGCCTCAAGCGCTCCGTGGGGTGACTGGTACATGGCAGGACGACGTCTTCCCTCGAGTCACTCTCGATCTTCGAACATTTGAGATCCCCAAGGTCAAAAACTCCCTGGTGAGAGGATCTGCTTCCTGAAGTCGCTGGAGCTGACGGGAACCTTGGAAGGAATTCTCCCTTTCAAAGAAGGACCCGCTGCTGCCAGCTCTGGGCAGGACGTCGAGCTCCCCGGGAGTGTCTTGGTGAGTCCATAAGGAGATTGGAGGACCAAGGCATGACTGGCACTGCCTCGCAGGAGTGATCTTCATAGAAAGATGGAGGTTTACACCTTCAAGGCGGAGAATGCGGTGGACAAGAAGCAGTGAGCTCTCGCGGAGGCCGTTGACCGCCATTGAGACTGTTTCAGGTGGATGACAAGCCTCAGGACTGTGAAGAGGATTTCCTCACAATCTTCAGATGGTTCGCTGTGCCTTGCTCTGCGTCATTTCGCCTTGACTTTGAACTGCAGATGAGCATGAGGAGGTAGGCTTCCTCCGACTAGCTTCGGCATAGCACGTAGAGACGACCAATGAGCTGGAATCAGCTGAACATGTAATTTAAAGTGTCGATACCTATTGAACAAAGAAATGTAGCATCATCTGGCAACACGGTCGAGATCAAGAACCGAATTCGAAGGGGGTTCTGTGGTCTACTCATAAGTTTATTGCGATCTCAAGCCAACATGTACTTTTCACGGGGAACAACTACAATGTCGGCAGTACATACAGGCCCACGTGTCTAGCAGTTGCGAGCTCCCCAGCTGGCAAAGCCCTGCTTGTTATCGTAGCATACAAAGTCGGCGTGATCCCAGAAGTTCTACAGCAACAAGATTCAGTTTCCAGGAACTCACGCACGGCCAAGGGGTTTCACCTTCACCTTCTTCATGGAGTCATGGTGGTACTCTCTGAAGGCATGCTTGTTCCTGTCTCCTGCATCGTCCACCGACATGATCTTACGGCTGAATGCCGAGTTGACAACCGACCGGATGCCGGCTAGCTCCTGATCACCCAGAGCTGATAACTGGGCAAAGCAAAGCGTGAGCATAACTTGTATTCAACCTCGTCATCACACAAAGAGGGATTCTCCATGACTCCCAAACACGGCGAATTCTTGTTCCACATAACCATGAAAGATTCGTTCTAGTGTGGAAGCTTGATTTTTCAGACAACAACTTGTCTTAACTTTCATCGCGCTACTGGGGGTTATCTATTCCTGTGTAATTCTATGGTATCTCTATGCCCATGGCTCTTGCGTCAATGACACACCATCAACATGTCACTGCTTTCTAATTCGTCATCAATTCTATTTAAGCATTAATTCTATCTCAGTGTACCGCCAGCACCACAACATAATCACCATGTCAAACACGACTGCAACTGTCATCTTAAGCACCCAGTAATTCGGTCAACCATTCCATATTCAGGACAATCTGATCATGAGCGCTATTGCACAAGTCATAGCAATGTCAAAGACTAACAAATGAACCAAACGAATGCTGGCTGTGAAGAAGGATTTCACACATACCAACGATGAAGTACATCACGAAAGCAAAAACTTGTTCTCCTTTATCAAGTCACACATCGCATTGATTGTCACCAGGCGCACTCTCATCATGCCCGCATCCCGATCAATGATTAACGTTGATGCGTGCTCCGCTATTCTAGATGCATCCTCCCTCCCCCTTCTCCCTCTCTCTACCTCTCTATCTCCTTGTTTGTGGTTCTGGGCCTCCTCCCTCCTCCCTCCTCCCTCCTCCCTCCTCCCTCCTCTACCAGCTCCTCACAAGCTCTCCTACATACCTGAACGAGCATGGCGTCTCTTCAATCACCCAGGGCCCCTTCTCACCCCTTTATGAATACTAAATAGTACGGGTCCATGGACATCACATACCCCTGATTCTTACTCTAAGCAATGGGGTAGGTGATATCACCCCTACACTGTTCGAGGAGGGATATAGGAGGGGTCTGATGAGCAAATGCCGTGGAACAACTTGCGAGTTCGCGGGCCATGCGGGGAGCCGGCAAGGCTTAGAGGTTGCAATGGCAACAAGAGAAGGAGAGCAGGGAGCAGGGAGGGGACGTCGAAATCAGTACCTTGAAGTGTCCACTGAGTTCTTGGGCCTCCTCTTCCTCTTCCTCCCTTGCTCCCATGCCCTCCTTTCTCCAACCAACATCGAGATTCTTTTTGCTTGCAATCATTTTCCCAAGGAAGAGAAGCATCCAAAGGCAACCAGATTTGCTTCAGTCTCTGTCTTGTAAGAATGATGGAATCTCAACATCCTCTTGAGTTGATTTGATTTTCATTGGGAATTTTTCAGCGCTTTGGAAACAGTGTTGATTGCCATCAAATGGAAAGTTCTTGGAAGATGAGGGAAAGCTACTGAAACCATGGAGAGAAGCCTACCCATCTGCACGTGTTTATGTTTGAGTGTCAAGAGAACAACATCATTGTCTAAGCTGCCGATCTTCATTCTCAAAATACTCCAGCGGTCTTAACTTGCTTGGCACGCCGTAGGAACGTGCTACTGCATGTTTGCTTGTATTGACGGCCTGAATCAGGCTGATAGTTGTACATCACGGAGCGGTTGCGTGTGTATGAGAGGGAGCGTAGATGTATCAGTGATTGTCTATGTACAGCTAGTCAGCGAAGTTGCTAGATAATGATGCTCGTTGACGAAAGAACATCCCACACTTTCATGAGCTTTGGGAGGCCTTTCGCCTCTATCCATCCCTTTTCTTGCTTCAAGTTGATCTCAATCGCGTTGTTGTCGTTGTGCGATTCGTCAACACGAGTTAAAGGGGTCTGTATACGCGGAACTCGACCCGACAGCTTGACCACTGCACAGAGTTAGACGAGGAGAGAACAATCACAAAACAATCGCACCATTGTCTTGCGTATTTCTCGGCATGGCCAGAATAAAGAATATTGTCTGCACAAAGTTTGGAAGCTTCGGTGAAGTGCGACCCAGCGAGCTGCTGAGAGACTCGACAAGTTGACAGGAAACCTGGAAGGTCGTTCCCAGTCAGCGTGCAAGTTGGTGGAGTCTAGATGTCAACTTACGTGTATCGTGAAGCCCAAGCAAACCCGGAGCAAGCTCTGCAGCTCTATCACGGCATATCGTGACAGCCTGCATCGGGTAGTTACGCCACCCAGTGAGGATGGCAGAGCGCGGTTTACCTGGAGAGGATCTGCCATGACTTGATGGCTGTGAGCCGCAAGGCGGGCGCAAGAGTCGTCTTAGTGTATTCCACTCCCATGCTCCAGGACCTCTGAAGAGTGACCATGAGAACAAGGATCACGCAGCAAACCGTCGTCAAACGACTCACCTGCACTGCCATGATCGCGTCGTGTACCATCCTTGCAACCCTCAGGGGAAACGCGAGCTTGTGGCAGAGCATGGTGATGAGCTTCCAAAAGCTGCAACTTCAAGTCAGGTCGGATAGCAAGTGATTTCAAACTCTCACAGTTGACGCTGGTGCCTGTCGACGTTCCCAACCCAGTTGAGTCGGAACTCTTCCATATCCCCCCGAGGAGCCAACCTGCACCCAGGTGAGCCGGGAGCCATGAGGTGGTTCATGGTTCTTAACCTGTCGGCCCACTCCTGGAAAGGGAGCCGTTTGGTCTTACGCTCTTCTCTCAGCCTTTGCAGAATTTCAGCCGGGCTGATCCTCTCCAAGTCCGTTTGCGGCATCATGTACTCGTTGTATCCCGAACAGACAACTTGTGCACGAGAGCGAGGTTTCCTCGTACAAGCAACTCTGCGCTGGCCAAACAACAAATGCCTCGAGGTTTGAGAGAATCCCAGGCATTGACCGGCCATCACCAAGATGTACAGCGCACTGAAGAGGTTGATGCGTCTGATGCCGATAGTCATTGTCCCTTTCACCAAAGTGGTAGGCGCTGGACAAGTTTTACCAGCAGCTGACCCCGATGAAGTTGGCTATAATTGGTTCCGTGTATGAGTCACACCCCAGTGTTTAAACAACCGTATGAGAAGAAATCTGCGTCGGCCGCTTCGCCAGCCCGTAAATTTGTCGGAGTTCACGAAAATTCCTTGAGGAAGAGGCAGGAGGCAGAAGAGACAAGTAGAGATGCGATGGTGGGAGTTAAGAGGAGACGGCGTCGATCACTCGAGCATGCTGCTCATGGTAACAGACTTCATTCCTCTCTACCGCTCCACATGGTCCCCGTGTTGCTGCGGCCTCTTGCTCGCCATCGGAGGCTTCTCGCTTATCCCACCACCCCGTGCCCTTTGCTTAGATTACAAAAGGTGGGGTGGAAGCATGGGAAAATAGGGGTAGAGGGGTACTTTCTCTTCCTTTATGCTCAATGCAAGGGGTGGGGGTATTTTAGGAGGGGTTATATTATATCGCATTTCATGGGATATGGGGGGGTGATAATAACTTGCGATTCATACAAGGGTGGGGTACAATTGAGGACAGGGAACAAACTGGAACGCGAGAAGGGGTGAAAGGGTCAGAGGGTACCTCTATCTACAGCCTGACTTATCATCAAATATTACCAATTTAAATTACTCATATATAATTAGTATCAATTAATACAGTCAATAATACAGATTGAGATCACCCTACCCCTTGAATGGGCCCGGTCATCCGTTACGGATCAGGCGAAGCTAGAATTTACACAATGTTAGTCGTTACAAAACGTTTCTTCCGTTACACCAGCAGCCCGTGCCGCTGCAGTATGAGAGCCGGAGAGGCAAGGATGGTGTTGTGAAAGGACGAGCGGGGGAGGAGGCAGAGAGGAAGAGGAGAGAGAAGAGTAGACAACAATATCGAGGACAGGTTGAGTAGAAGATTTCTGAGATATGTGTGAATGCAAAGAATATCCTTCAGATGCGTGAAAGCAAATCTCTCCAGTGCTGTTCGTCCGCTTTTGCAGTTCTAGCGCAATCCTGAGTTGCTGGGGGTAGGTGCGCATCTCATTGACAAAGAAGATAGTTGTGATTTTTTTTTTGATTGGTGAAAGAAATCGTGCACATCAACACAGTTGTGTTAGGAGTCTAGAATGCTTTTACCAGAGGTTCTCAGCTTCAAAAACAGAATTGCCGATGCATACTCGCAGTTTGTAGTGTTCGATGCTGGACTGACATGCCCTGTCCTCTGGACTGACATGCCCTGTCCTCTGGACTGACATGCCCTGTCCTGCAGCATGACATCAGCTGCTCGCCCCACCTTCCACCCCGCCGTCGGCGGGGAGGATATCGGATACTACCGCATGGAGGCTGGGACGCGGTGAGTTAATACGCCCGAACTGAGGCTCGGATGACAATTTCTGTAGTCAACTGTCCGTCAAAGACATGCCTGGGCATACAAGGCTGAAGTTCAGAAGGACTCAGGTGGAGCTGGTGCACAATGGAGGGGCTTGTCAGTGACCCGGCATGTTGGTACGGCAGGCTCAGAAGTCTCAGGACGAGCTCAAGGCTGAACTCGAGCAGCGAGAGCTCAAGGTGTTGATGAGCAAGAACACCAGCAAGGCAAGCTCACAGGCGCCCTCCGGTCCATCTTGTTCCTCGGTTGACGAGAGTTTGGCTGACGATGAGCAGAGATGGGAGACAGCAAGAACGCGGAAGCTCCTGCCATTGAGGATGTGGATGAGGAGCGCGATGCTGATGACATTGTCGCTGGAGGTACCGAGTATCCCGCGGATGAGAGGGGCTCTGACGCACCATGACTTGGGTAGATGTTGATTCGGACGATTCCTCTGACGATGAAGATGAAACGATGGAGCTGATGTGAGAAGCCCAGGAGCTCGATGCAGAGTTGTTGACTTCATATCATGCAGGAGGGAGCTTGAAAGGATCAAGAAGGAGAGAGAAGAGGATGCAGCCCGCAAGGTTGCGGGATATTGCTGGATTCGTCTGCCGTCTGATCTTGTTTGTGCAGGAGGCTGAGGAAAAGGCTAGAAGGGAGAAAGAGCAACAGGACATGCTGTTGCGGGGAAATCCACTTCTTGCAGGGAGCTCCAGTGCTGGAAGCTTCGCCGTAAAGAGGAGGTTTGAATTTCTTTGCGCTTCGAACTGCACTGAGATGCAGCACATAGGTGGGACGACGATATCATTTTCCGCAATCAAGCTCGCAACGAGCCGATGTCAAAGAAGGTTTTGTTATTGTCGGTATGTTCTGCATGATCTGACAGAAAACTCACCTAGACTTTCATCAACGATACGATCAGAAACGATTTCCACAAGAAGTTTTTGAACAAGTACATCAAGTAATCAGGTGTCACAGTTCGGTGGATCGCGCGGCAATCCAAGGAAGATTTCAAGTTTCTTTGCGTTGTAAGTATTCCGAGACTGTCCAGCACCTGCAACCTGCCGTTCAGGCTGTCCTGTGGTAGCAGTCAAGTTCTGCTGCACGGTAGGCATCAGTGGCATGACGGCGTGGCAGCCTCGGACGGTGCCACTGCCACGGCACCGGGCCGTGATGGCAGCATCATGTACTACACAGTGAAGTTGATGCCATGATGACTAGCTTGCCGCCCTCCAAAGCGAATTACAAGTACTAAGCCTAAACTTTAAAAGTTGCGCTGGTGCCACTTCAGCCTCTCACTGTGAACAACTCAACTGGCAATGAGTCACCGTGCCACCCGCCGCCGCCGGGTACCGTACGCCGGGCGACCGCCGGAGGCTCACTCGGAGGCCCGGCAGGGGGGCCAGTCCGAGTCGCCGGCCCGGCGTCCCGTCCGATCACCGCCGGGCAGTACGGAAGTGCTCGCTCAGACTCGCTGACACTGTGTCGGATGAGATTTGGCATCATCGGCGGACCGAACCGGCCCTTGGACCCCGGCCCGGGGCGGAGTCTCGACTCCGACGAACTTCGGAAGCCTCGGAAGGCTGGGCGCGGCTCAGATCAAGTTGAGCCGCTCGGCGGCGATCACCCGGCGATGGCGGCCGCCCGGCCCGGCCCGGGGCCGGGCCCGGGCTGAGTCGGACCGGCGCGCCGCACCGGGCCGGGCCCTGGCCTTCGTCGAATTGATTCGATTCGATTCAACCCGCGCCTCTTCGTTCCTCGCCATTGGCAGGAAGAGTGCCTGAAGGACGAGCGGAAAGGGAGGAAGAAGAGCGCAGGAACATCCCTGAACTCTCTTCCCCTCCTGCAGCTCCTTGCAGCCCCGATTGTACCAGTGCCTGTCCCTCCCCGTCAAGATCTATCAGGACCAGTCAGCCCGACGGCCACCTACAGCAAACCGTGAAGGTCAGCACTGACCAGGTTAGACGACGATAGGAACCTGCCAGGACTTCTCATCCACGACGACAGCCACACCTGCTGGTTCAGATAGGCAGCAATAAGAGGAGAGTCTCGGATAGTCCGCAACCGCTCTTCTAACTCTTTGAGTGCTATCCTAACGAATTTTGGGCGATGGTCGAACTCGATGATTTCAAGCCGTCCTTCACGCCAGCAGTTGCTGCTGAGTTCATTGGCACGTTCCTTGTACAATTCCTCGCGTCTGCATGTGCGGCAAATGCAGCAGACAATGGTCTAGCGGCAGCGGCGCTTGGAACAGGATTCGCATTCGCAATGGTGATGTACAGCATCTCACACATCAGCGGAGGACACCTCAATCCTGCAGTGACTGTTGGGCATCTGATCACGGGGGGAGAAGATCTCAAGCTTAAGGAGGGATTGTCGTACATCATCGCTCAGTTCTTCGGGGCGGTCTGTGGGGCGTTCTTGGCAAAGAGCTGCTTGCCTATCGAAGCTCTGGTCCATCCTTTTGTTACCATGGGGTCTCTCTCGGACAAGCATGGGGAGCAGGTGACCAGTGCTTCGCTCTCAGTCGAGTTACTCATGAGACTGCAGGTTTTCATGATGGAATTCATCTGTACATTTCTTGTCGTTCTCGTCTTCTACGCCACTGTCGTGGACAAGAATCGGAGTGTCGCTGACAACGCAGCTCCGATCGCTGTCGGCTTGTGCTATGCGATTGGAATCTTTGCTGTGAGGCTCCCACCAGGAGACAACTTCCAAGTCGCTGATTGGTGTACAGGAGGGGCCATACACTGGTGGGGCCATGAGCCCAGCGAGGACATTCGGGCCGGCGGTTGCCTTTGGCACTCTTGAACATGTGAAACATTCTCGTCTTTTCTCGCATGCTCCCTCATTTGTGTTCCCGTGTTGCAGGTGTGGTACTACGTCCTTGCGACGTTCTTGGGAGGAATCGCAGCAGCATATTTCTATGTGTATGTCATTGGGTTGCACGAGAAGGACGAGCACACCCGGGACACTCAGAGCGGCCCGATGGCGGCCAAGTATGTGTGAGGCTTCCTGGGTTCTCAAAGATTTTTTACAACTACTTAACATGCAAATGAAAAGACGACCTTGCAGTCTGAGATTGCAACCGAATCAAGGCTCGAGTCTTGAGCTTACAACACAATCTTGGTAAACACGATGGATGATCATGGGATTTCTCGTAGCTTGTGAAATACTCTTCAATTTTGAGGATGAGAGTATCCACATAACAGCGCATCAGTAGATTGACATGGTCTGAAGTGAAGACTAGCTGTGAAAAACGCTAAACATCTTCAGCGATTGCAGTTTAGGATTGATAACACAAGTCCTTCCCACAGACAGCCTTTATGCTGTTTGAGCCGGAGCAGATCAAGGTTTTGCAGAGTTTGATGGTGCACTCAGGACTTGCTGGGGCGGCAGATCTGATCGGGTTGTTGAGGTGCCAGACGTAAGTGAGTGAGAAGGTTAGCATGCACCCGCCTATGAAGCACAGGCAACACACAAGGAACATGTTGCAGAACCTCACGTCGATTTTCTTGAGCATCCCCGGTGACTCATAGAGGGTTTCCTTGGGATTCGTTACGATGGACATTCCTTCTTCGACACCTTGCTCTTGCATTTCAAAGTTTGTTCCTGTGTTCCGGCTCATGATTTCACAGCAGCGACCGGCTGGCAGCGCGACTTTCGCTCTTAACCCACGGATTTCTTTTGATAGCTCTTGCAACAAAAAGTGTGTGAATCAGCGCAAGGAAGATCTCGAGCCAGAGATCGAGGAGAAGGTCACAAGGATGGACTGTGCAGGTAACAACGGTGTTCGTAGAAGAAGCAAATTCGCAGGTGGTAGTTTGGGGATCACCAGAATTGCTCGTATGAGAGAGGAGAAATGTGGCGAGTGAAAGATGATGGAGGGAACGGTGATGAACTCTGGAGGAGAAGGCTTCGAGCACAGTAGGTGTAGGGGAGCAAGGCAGGGGAGGGGGAGAAGTTGGGGGAGGGGAGTATGGCAGGGAGGCAAAGGGAGGAATGTAGTCGGGGGAACACTGCGAAAGTGAGGAATGTCAGGGGTAATATGGGGTCCTTGGTTGCCAGGGTGGTAGGTACAGCTATGAGAGGAGTACTAGATGTAATGTAGTACTTTATTTCATTAGTCTCAATTGGAAAATATTCGAAAATAAGGCACTGTGTTAGAGACACTCAAATCTGTTGAATTCCTCGTTCCAAGGGTGGGTGGGTAGAGCTGGTCATTCTGACCTAAAATGCCTTGTTTAACTAAAACGCTTGACTGAAGGCTCCGAGTCGCCGTTGAACTCACGGGCCGACGACCGACGGCCCGCCGGGCCGGCCCGCCCGGCGAGTCCGACGGGCTCAGTACCGAGTCGGTCGGAGTCTCGTCCGAGTGCCGGCGGCCCGGCCCGGGCTTCCACGCCGGCCCTTGGAGTGCCGCTCAGTTACGGCGGCTCCGGGTCCGATGCAGCGGCCAGCCCCGAGGGCCGGGCCCAACTCACTGGCCACCGTACCGTCCACGGTGGCACTGCCAGTGTGGCAAGCCTTACTGTGCCTAGCCTTCTTTACTCAAAGTTAAGTTAAAAATCAGTACGAGGACAATCAGGAGAGTCGAGGAGGCTTGACCCTGACACTGTCGCACAGGCCAAACGGCGAGAAGAGAAAAGACAGCGAGAACCAAACCTAAACCTGCCGACTGCTGTCCCCCAAACTTAACTGATACCTTCACTTAACGGCGCGCAGGACAAGTCCCCGCGCGGCCATGCCAGCGATGTCGCGGTGGCCGCCGCCGAAGGAATGAGACGCATACCGGGATGCACCCGCGATGATGGCAGCGTAGGACAGGGAGGCCTTGAGCTGACGGAAGATCCTGGACCGAATGCGTTTGCAAGTCGGATCACCTGAGACGTCTTGCGAGGCCGAGAGACCATCCAGCGCTGCCGTTTCCTTGTTCGCCGAGCGATCCGCCAGCCACCACAGAAAGCGCAACGCATCGTCCTGCAAGAGGCCATCAGTGCTGGCGATGATGGGAAGAAAGGCCTTTGGCGGGACGTGCTGAGCATATGCATTACGATGCCCTCGGATCTTCCGCTGTGCTGCCGCTTGCAGTTTGCTCCGAGCGAGGTCCGGTATTCCATCATTGTCAAAAACATGTGACATGCTGAAGTCCAGGATTAACCCATGCCATCCGCCGCCAGTAGCCATCAGTTGTGGAAGTTCAAAGTCCCCTACATGATGATCTTCAGGGCCATGTTGGGAAACGTTCTGCCTGGTGCCGGGTACGCCTTGCACGTGGACGCGGCATCTCACTCCGGAATCTTTGATGAGGGTACTGAGGACGGCATTGCACTTCTCATGCGCATCAGTCCATAACTGGCTGCGGTGCCTGCAGGTTGCCATGTGTGTGGTCCCCCCAGGATGACGAAGAAGATGATGGCATCGATCGCAGTGCGGCGGGAGGTCAACCGGCAATCCATGAAGAAACTTGTCAGCGGCAGCCACCAAGCTGATGGGCTGCTGCTCAAAGATCCCAAGGTTTGTACTTTCCATAGTCGAGTGCCAAATCGTGCGCTGAGGGGTAAACTGAGACAGAAGGTCATCAACCGGGTGGCCTGGTACTCGAAGGGGAGTAGAGAAGCTGGAGTGGTGTGCCAACAAAGATCTCTGGCGCTCTGAAAGGTGAGCCCGAATACTGCGGAACCGGGGAAACTCCGAGAGGAACTGAGCCGTGAGCTCCCGCTGGGCGGGGATGAAAAGCGCACTGCCCGACGTCCCAAATAATTCAGGCGAGGGGATCCAGCCATTGTCGCACGCCTGAGGAAGCTCCGCCAAGGAGGTGTACGCCGAGATGCCCTGCTCCATCAAGTGCCTGTGAGTGTCCAAGAAGGCAGCAAGCATGGGGACAACATCCCCAGCGTCCGCTTGCTGCGGTTGGCGGATTCGAAGCTCAGTGTCAGAAATGATCCGGTGGAAGAGTGGCGGTGTAGGGAAAGTCCAATGCTGGAAGATGGCAATTTCACCCGCCCATTTGAGAAACTTGGCAGTCGCCGACCAGAATGCGGTGTAGGCCACGCCCTCCTGCGGGGTGAACCCATCTCCTCCAGCACTATAAGGCAACTGACGTTTGAAGTAGGCGAACTGAAGGTCAGATGGAGGGGTGCCAGGGGCAGGTTGCAGGACAGATGAACCCTCCTGTGCCTGGTTCTGTGGCCACTGAAACACCTTCGCCAGGAGACGGAGATTCGCGACGTCAAAGCACTTGCACTGGGCAGCGGTCAAGGCCGGGGAGATTCCACGCAAGAAATATTGGAGGGTGGGAACGTGGGTCGTTTTCAAGAGCTGCTTGAGACCCAACGCAATGGGAAATTGTTCCAACTGGGTCAATTCAGCATTGAGGGCATTCACCTTGGCAGTGATAAACTCTTGCTGGAAGGACTGAGATCCTATCGGGATACCTCCCAGGATGATCCCCTGGCCGCGGAAGGCAAACTGCTGCAAGCCCGGGTACCTGCTGCAAATATGCTCTTGGATGGCTTGTTGCTGACTAGATTGAAGTTCACACCAGGACGAGGAGAATATCTGCGAATCCCTGGGTTGAATCTCCAATCCTAGCTCTTGTTTTAAAGTATCAACCAGCGATGCAGTAGCCTGTGCGGCAACTGAGAGCTTTCCAATAACAGCCATGTTATCCGCATAGGCCGGGAAGACACAGTCGGGAAAGGTCTCTGCGACTTTGACCAGGGAAGGGAAGGTGGTGTGCGCAAAGAGAGCCATCGCCAAGGGGTCCCCCTGAGAAACTCCCGTGGTGGCCGAAAAAGCCCGAGTCTCTCGCTGATGTTTCAGAAATAACTTACCTGCCTGGCCATAATATTGATGAACATACGGAAGGACTCCTTGGGAAAAGTTCTCACAACGATGCTCGGGAGCAAGGAGGATGTCAAATAGCCGTTGGCGAGAGATCTCATTGAAGGCATTTCTTGCGTCGATCATGATGATTACCGTGGGATCAAAATTATCAGACTCACCTTCGCCCTGGTCTGTGAATGGGTTGGCAAAAGAATGGGGTCCTAACAGGCATTCGATGGTCTTGCAGAATTTGAGACAACCTTCCTCCAGACCCACGCAAAATTGCAGGACCCGAGAGTGACTGAGGGTGAAGTGGCTCTCCAAAGATTTTCGGTAGAAACGACAGAAGATGCTAGACACAATCCTTCGCTCCAGGTCCCCTATCACAATAGGTCGGATTCCGCTCTTTTCCACTGACTTGGCAGCAGGAATGAATCGCCCCCCTCTGGTGTATTCCTCGAGGAAAGCGCCCGAAGGGATTCCCAGCGCGATCGGCTTCAATATGAGGTTAATGTATCGCTGTTTGTGATCATCATGCAGTCTGAGAATGTGTCGCAGGTGCTGGAACGGTCGCCAACCAAATTGATCAGGGGCCGAGGAAGCAGTGAATCGCCGCAGGAATTTCCCTACCTCTCGCTGATCTAAAATCTTGTCAAGCAATGAGGCCGGTTCATCGGCGATGGCATCGTCGAGCTGAGCACTTAGCATTTGCCTTGAGGAGCCGACTGCGTCTAGGAGCGTTGGAGGAATGGGTTCCAGTCTCGTCGGAAATTTCTCACGAGTTTGCTGCCATAGGTGCTCAAATGGATCTGGGGAGAGGCCATGGCCCACAAGCGCCTGTCGAGCTTTCTTCATATCCCGATTTTGGTAATGCTCAACAGCCGAGAGGATTTTCTTTTTCTCCAACTGCTCGCTCTCCATCACTGGCTGCTGCACGCCCGCTCTCGCACGGTCAGGTCCTTGTGGGCGACCTGCATTTTGACGGTTAGGTTGTTGGCGCCTACCTTGCGGTGCCCGCGGTCTCGTGCCTCGTCCCGACCCAGTTAGTCCCGCCGTGGGCTGCTGCGTGACATCCTGCGGATCTCCACCGCTGCCAACCGCTGGGCCGTCTTGGTCAAAAGAAACACCCTCTTCTAGTTTCAGCAATGTCTCCCAACGCCCTTGGAGGAAATGGTGGATACGGTAGCTCACATCTCGGTTTTGTCGCGAGATTGCAAGAACTGGATTCACTCTCAGCAGGAGCAGTGGGAGACAATGCCACAAGCTCCGGATAATCTTAGCTTCCTCGCAATGCAAGTCAGGGTAACCTTGTAGCAGGTCTAACGTAAACTGTAGCGCACTCTTCCATTTATCAATCGTCTGACTGTGACTGCGGCCTACTTTTTACTCAAGGCCTACCGTACGGCCGGGGCGGCCCGGCGGCCCGGCCCGTGCCAGACCGGGTCGATCCGGAGCAACCGGTGACCCCTACTAGGCTACGCTTTACGCTATCACATTCTCTGGTTTAGGTAAAAGGACCCGGTGGTCCGCCTATTCGGGCTGACGACTTTTGGCCGCAGGGAAGAAACAAAGCCGTCTTTACTGGGTTCTGATCCTTGAGTAAATATTTTGCTATACTAAACGTTTACTCAAAAAGAATTTTGCCGGGGGGTAGGGCAAGTAATAGAAGGTGGGTACTATGATGAGGCACAAAGGTGCTTGCTTTGTACCCGTACTTTCAAAATCAATTTTTGGGGGAAAAGGGGGTAGGGGTTATTGGGGCAGGTCAGTGAAATTGGGGTGGTAGGAGGCCGCAGTCAATGGCGGAGGGACGTGGAAGGGAGGGAAGTTGAAGAGAAGAGAGGCAGAAGAAGAAGAGATGGCGATGAAGAGATGAACTTTGCCAGACTTGTCTAGTGTGAAGCTGTTTGTCACCCTGCTTTTACAAAGATGATGCGGAGTTTGCCTACATTTGCCTGGTTGCTTGGCATGGCGGTGTACATGCAGACCACCGAAGGCTTCGGGTTTTCATTGCCCGGCAGGAATGGTTTGCACATGGGAAAAGGCCGATTTTCAAACGACCTAAAATGTGTCGGGAATCGAAGATGCACAAAGCGCCATGTTCTCACTCCTGTCGCTCAATCATCAGGGGCGCAGGTTCTACAAGACGAGGATTTGAAGTCAGAGGGGAAGAAAGGTGATCCAGCAGGAGGATGGTGGAAAGATAGCAGTCCACAGAGAACAGTGGAACAAGCAAAGCTCAAGTATTTGAATCAGTTTCCAAATACTTGGCAACCGGCAGAGAGTCTAACGCTAAAGCGCAAGGGAGACAAAAAGGACACGTACAAGACTGCAGGAGTTGAGTTTAAGACAGCAACTCCTGACAAAGTGTATGATGCAGCAATCGTAGGAACTGGTCCTGCGGCCATTGCCATGGCTGATGCCCTGGCTCTGGAAGGCATGACAGTTGCTGTTGTTGGGCCGATCGCAGGAGCGTGGCCCAACAACTATGGCGTTTGGATGGACGAGTGGAGCGTGTTGGGTCTCCCCGACTCTTGCATCGAGTCGCAGTATGACACGACTAGGATCACTATCTCTAAAGGGAACAGCATCAGCATTCCCCGCCCTACGGGAAGGTGAGCGGGCCCAAGACGCGCGAGTTCTTCCTCAGGCGATGTGCGGAGAACGGTGTCGAGGTCCTGGATGAGCTGGTGACGGACATTGTGCATGGGGACACTGAGAATCCCTCCGTCTTCAAGACGGCAGGCGGTGAAACCATCCGCTGCAAGGTGCCCGTAGTGGCGGCTGGTCACTACTCGCCACTTGTCAAGTACCAGTCCCCTGGGGTGGAGTTCATGCGGATTGAAGGAGAGTACATGACGAGGGACTGGGGGAGGCTGCTGCAGGTGCCTCCCAACCAGAGGCCTGTCATCACCAACGAGTACGTCGAGTCGGGCCCCCTCTCTCAGCTGTCCTGGAAGCATAGCATCCAGTTCGACTCAGTGCGGCCCGGCCAGCATGCGTGGGGGTGGAACTGGGGGTGGAACCCTGTACTGCGTGGGCTCAAGGTTCCCAGCTTCATCCCACTCTTCGGGGACTGCGAAGCCATCGGAGGAGGAGCGCCAGGGTATCAGATTGCGTATGGAGTAACCGTCGAGTGCTCGGAGCCTCACGGCTTCCCCCTTGACGAGATGCTGTTGATGGACTTCAGCACCGACCACCTTGAAGGGGACGAGGAGCTGGAGGGAGGCATCGACGGGCACGTGCCGACCTTCCTGTACGCCTTCCCCTACGACGAGAAACGAATCTTCTTGCAGGAGACCCTCCTTGTAGCCAGGAACCATCGCGCGTTCGCCAAGTCTTTGCAGATGGAGGAGATGGTGAGGAGGGTGAACAAGCGAATCGAGAACCTCAAGCTGGAGGTCACCAAACAGTATGACGAGGAGTACTCGGTCATCCCCATGGGCGGCCCTCTGCCCGTCCTCGGCCAACCAGTGGTCGCTTACGGGGCTGCGGGTGTGATGGTACATCCAGCTAGCGGGTACATGATCAACAGGGCGATCTTGTGGGCCCCCGAGGTGGCGCGAGCTCTTGCCTCAACCCTCAAGGAGACCAACAATGCTCAGCTCGCTACGGAGGCTGCATGGGAGGCCCTGTGGCCCAAGCAAAGGCTCATCGAGCGAGACCTCTACTGCTTCGGAATGGAAGTTCTCCTTGACCTCGACGTTGCTCTCCTGAGAGACTTCTTCTCTGCCTTCTTCGCTGACCCCAAGGAGAAGATGTGGAGACAGGTCAGCTCCTGCTGCCTCCTCAACACGTGCTAACTTTCAACTAGTTCTTAGCATGGAGCATGACTCGTCCGGGAGAGAAACCATGGAAGATGAGCATCTTCATGATTCTGCAATTCTTCAGAGGCTCTTGGCCCCTCAAAGCAAGACTTGTTCGAGAAGCCATGTTCAAGGTGATGATACTGTTCAAGACTTGATTATCTTCTCATTCCTTTCACAGGATGGTCTTCATCTTCTCAAAAGCATTTTCGAGATGCCGTTCCCTTTCGATTAGGATGTAAAGATAGCAAGTGTACAATCTCTTTATTTTCCATGAACAATTTTTCACCACTGGTAGCAACCCGTTATTTAGAGCTTTTATATGCTGTGCCAAGAACAAAGTTTCGATCAGGAGCGGACTCGAACCACTCAGTTTCCAAACTGATCAAATTGGTGGTGTTAATAACACCAGTTCGAGCTCCTTGTGTCAAGTAACGTAGGGGCCACGAAGCAATCGCACTGGCTGAATTTACTTTTTCGTCGCCTTGGTGGTGGCAGTCTTCTTCGCAGCAGTCGCCTTCTTAGCAGGGGACTTCTTGGGCTTGGCAGCTGCCTTGGTCGCCTTGGGGGCCTTCTCGGCCTTGGGCTTGGTGACCTTGGGGGCCTTCTCAGCCTTGGGCTTAGTAGCCTTAGGGGCCTTAGTGGCAGTCTTCTTGGCGGGAGACTTCTTGGGGGCAGCGGTCTTCTTGGGGGCAGCAGCCTTCTTAGCGGGGCTCTTCTTGGGCTTGGTGGCCGCAGTCTTCTTGACAGCAGTAGCCTTCTTCGCGGGACTCTTGGCCTTGGGGGCTGCTGCTGCTTTCTTGGGCGGCATCTCCTACATGTGAGGTTAGTCATGAGTCTTTGGAATGTAATTTCAGAGAGTTTGATGTGAAACATGAAGTCAAACAAATAACATGCGATCGGACAAGAAAAATGCAGCAGTATCGGGGCAAAAATCCAGTTACCCTTCCAATTGCAAATAAACAGTCTATCAATGAACACAGCAAGGGCATAGAGGCAAGGAACAGACAGCAAGTGAGCATAGCGAGACAGAGGAGAAGGTCACTGCGGCATGAGCCCGGACATGGGAAGGTTACCGTGGCAGGCGTGGTAAGGATTCGGAGAAGGGCGGGAGGCAAGTAAAAGGAGGGGAAGGGGAGGGGGCAGGGGGAGGGGTCGTGGAGTGCCTGAGTACTCTAATATAGGGGGGTAGGGTTCAACAGAGATCCTGTGTTTGAGGTTTGATCGACTGCGGGGCTGTGTTCTTCATGGCCTACCCTTCCATTTCTTGTACCGGTACTTGGACTCTTAAAAGTAGCTCTAAATAGGGGTATAATCGAGATCCTTGTGCAAGTCCAGGGGTGTCCATCAGTGGGGGTGGAGAGTTTTTTTCCCACGGGGGCAGGAAAGAATGGATGGTGAGGAATGTGAAACGGGGTGGGTGGGGGAGCCGTAGACCGGTGTCTAGGTATGGACTTTGCAGGGTACTACAACAGAGGGGCCCGGATGGTTGACAGGGGTGGGTACTCAACTGAGGCAGGCCGTTTCCTGTTCGAATTTTCAAACGATTCGAATTTTTTTTTCCTCGCCCGGGGCCGCAGGACCTCTGAGGCAGGCCTGAAAGGAAATAGGGAGCGACGGGCTGCGCCGTGGCTTCACATAACCGTTTGGCGGATAATTGTAACTGACAGGTACCAGAATTAGCCTCCATGGCGTGCTCCGTCTGTCGGGCGATAAAGGATGGGATGAATGGCGTGGGGAGGCAGTGGTGAGCAAGAGCAGGGAGCACCCCGGCCAATAGAGCAACCTTGAGGTAGTGTCCGGAGGAGGAGTTCAAAGGCTGAAGAAAGAGGGAAGGAGGCAGCTGGAAGGTTAGCTCGGTCTCTGGATTTGAGCAGGGGAAGGAGCAGGCGCGTTCAATCGGTCAAGCTGGGCATGTTCTGATCGTTGAAAGGATAGCAGCAAGGTAAGGATATTACCAAAGAAGTGGACGTGGTGGGTGTGTTTTTCTCGGTGATGACAAATGCGTTTCAGGGAAGAAAAAATCAAAGCATGGAGCATTCGGATTCTTCAGCGACTCCATCATGTCGTTCGTCGAGGGATACCTCCAACGCTCAGCAGCTTCGGCATGGTAGGAGGACCTGGGTCGTTGCGACGTCGCTTGCGTTCAGCGTCTGTGCAGGTCTATCACTTGAATGCGCTTGAAGCGTAATGATGTGCTAACCTGCACGTTTCATAGTTTGTTGGGTTTGGAGCGATCGAGGCGGGAGTAACAGAGGAATGTCCTTGTTGCTCTCGACAAAAAATGTCGATAAGGCTATTAGAGAGCTTCAGAACAAGATCAACCAAGAGAAGCTTCAGAACCATGAGCTGTTCAAAGATATCGTTCAGCAAAGCGAGCAGCCCTATCAAACAAAGCATCCGCGTTCGCGGAATGAAGTCCGAAGCCCTGCTGCAAGAACACAGGGACCTGCTACCTCTCTACCTGGTATCCGTCATGCCAGCGAGCAAAAGCAAGCGGCTCTTGAGCGGATCCAGCGAATGTCGACTAGAGCCCAGTTACCCGCAGTTGGTACAAAAGATCGTTCTCCGGCCAGATCAAGTTTGAGTGCCGCTGGAAGTGGTTTTGGAAGTGGGCACATAGATGCCTGGCCAGTCCAAAGGGACACTTCGATCCAGTGGCCGAAATCAGGATCTGCTCTCTCGACGACTCCATTCCGCCTCCAGTATCCTCCTGCAGCCAGCTCAACGACTGCGACGTCGCTTACTCAGTCTCAAGCACAGCAAGCCGAAGTAGCTTTTAGATGATGCCATGTTTCAGCTCTAATTCGTATCGCCAGGCTTCTGCCATCGCCAGGCATCAGGCGCAGGGGCAGCCTGAGATCTCCTGGCAGGTGGCTGACTCCTCAAGGCCGATACAGTGGAGTAGCAAGGGACCAAATGGCAGGATCGCTTGGCCCGGCAGCCATCAGCTCAAGGTGGCGCGTCGATGTGATGGATGAGGAGGCTGTTGTTGACCTCAAAATTCAGGCAATCGAGAGGGAAATAAGAGGGATCAAGTCTCTGATCTTGAAGAAGATCAGCTCCGGAAATCAAGTGCGTGAAACGTTTGCATTTTTCAACATTGCCATACTCATACTTTATGCGTTGCAGCCGGTAATCCAGTCTGTCAAGCCGACGATCACGTCAGAGAAGCCCACGATCACGTCAGAACGGCCGACCATCACGTCGGAGAAGCCGACCATCACATCGGAGAAGCCTGATTTGCAGCAAGGGCTTCAGGCCGCAAGCGACCTTGCGGTTTTGAACTCTAAGGTCGCCTTGTCTTGTCGCATGCAATGAAAGTTGCTGAATGACTCTCTTACAGCTCCAGCCTGATGGGAACATCGGCAGGTCAATCAAACTATCATGTTAGGTGGGGTTGTTGTTTGACGTCTCATTCCACAAAAGCGTTTCCAACGCAACTGGAATTCTTTGGCCTCAACAAGGTAGAGCAAGGTTCGCCTTGAATGCAGCCCTTGACCTCGTCTGCTCAAACCTGCAGCTGAATCCATCTCTTGGCCTGCACCGAACGAGTCCACGACAGGTCTAGGAAGAGGATGTGATTTCGAATTCAGCTGATGCTCGTCTCCGTTAGAGCCACCTCCCGCCTTCAAGGATTTGCACAAGTACGAGCAAGATGATCTGCAGTCCTGGCCTGAAATTCAGAGCTCAAACCATGTACGTGTTGTCGCCTTTCATGTCATAAGTTGATGACAACCCGATCAGATCCGTTGGCCTCAGCAGGTCGGGCAGCAGCAGCAGCAGCAGCAGCAGCAGCAGCAGCAGCAGCAGCAGCAACGACAGGAGAAAGTGGTCGAAGGTCCGGCTCAAAGTGATCTAGCGAACTCGCTTCTCACCTCTCATTGTCATGTGCAGGCAACGCGGCAGCCGTCGTTGGGTCCGGCAAGTCACGTACGTTTCTCCCTCTCTCGTTCACCAGCCTCATCTACCCTGCAGGCGAGTACACCTGGCCTGGGACCGTAACTTCCGAGCCCGAGGTCAAGGTGCAACCGCTCAAGGCAGGGAAGAGGCAAGTCGTGTGCTGCTGCTGCGTCCTGAGATGTTGCCCCTCCATGACTCGTGGCATCCCTTCAGAGACGTCAAGTTCGCTTCCTCGGGGCCCTCCACCACGTCGCGGGCAAGGCAGCCAACAGCCGCCGCTAGCAAGCAGCCCAAGAGCATCTGGGAGGCTGTGCATGTGAGTGAGCGGGAGAGGGAGCGAGCGAGGGACCGAGGGATGGAGATGACAGGTAGCGCAGGTGCAGTCCGTTGCTTTCTTCCTCAGCTTTGGGTTCGCATGCTTCGCCATCGGCATCTTCACAGGAGCTCGCTGGTGCCTGCCGTCGCAGTCGGAGGAGGCGACGGTCTTGTCAGCACCTCACTCTCTGCTGCCTCTGATGCGCAACGAGCAGGACCTGCTGCACCCTCCTGCCGAGAGGCAGAACGTCTTGGAGAATGCCATTGGGAATGGTAGAGTACCCTAATCCCTCCTTCCCCCTTCCCTCTCCCGCCCTCTCCCATCCCACCTCTTCTTACCTCCACCATCTTCCTCCCATTCACCTCTCTCCACTTTCTCCTCTTTTCTTTGAATTGCTGTCCCTCCCCCGTCTCCATCCTTCTCGTCCCCGTGTCGTTGACTGTTCTTGTCCCTGAGCTCATTCCGTCTTCTTTCAGGAGGAACGCCTCTTTCCTCCTCGCGGAGACCAGAGAGTCTTCGCAGGTCGTATGTGTGAGCGCTCATAAACTCGTTTCCATCTCCGTCGCGTCCTGCCGCCTCACTCGTCTCCCACCCAAGCTTCCCTCTGACATATGATTCATCTATACTCGTTTCCCCACCAGTCCCTCCTCCTCTCCTCCTGCCCTCCCTCCTGCCCTCCGGGGAAGCTGAAGTTGGCGATGCATCCGAAGCATGTGCTGAGAGAGAAGGGAGCTGGAGAGAAGAGGGCAGGAGAGAGGGGGGAGGGAAGGAGGGCAGGAGGGAGGGCAGGAGCACCCCCCCCCGCCTTCCCGGCATCGGGATTCCTGTTTTCAGAATCCTGACAAAAAAATCAGCCAAGTAGCAGTGCTAAGGGCTATGCTGGGAGCGGGGGAACGGGAGGAGGGTAGAGGAGGAGAGGCATGAACAGCGCCCTTCGTGCTCCTGATGTCCCTCTTCCTCCTCCTCTCCCTCCTCTCCCTCCTCTCCCTTGCTACCTCGCTGGGTAGCCCACCGTGCGATCGGATCATCGCAGGGCTGGAGGGACAGGACGCGGTGGCATGGGTGCGACGGTGCACGTCCCTTGAGCAGGGAGTTGTGAACTTCCTCGTGCAGGAGGGAGTGTCAGGACAGGAGCTCTGGGAGATGTCACCATGGTAGCGCATGCCCCTTGCTCTCCTCTCCCCTCACCTCCTCTCCTCCTGTCTCACTTGCAGTGCCAGGGAACTTGAGGACATGATGAGCCTTGCCCCTCCTGCAACAGAGAGGCTCTACCAGGAGCTGCATGGCGGGGCCGACGGCATTCCCAGCACCAGGAGCTTCTTCCTGGAGGACATCGGGGAGGTTGCCTTGCGCATCCTCGAGCCACAGCAAGGGAAGGTGTACGTCAAGTCGGAGGAGGACAACGACAGGGGAGGGATAGTGTCGGAGGAGGGGAAGCTGATTGTTGTCTTCGAGCTTGTGTGCGCGAGCAAGGTTCCCTTCAGCATGCGGTTCAACGCGCAGTGGCAGGCGAACGAGCACTTCCACGAGCTCTCCGTGTCCAGCTCCTGCTCCAGCAACGAGCATCAGAAGTACAACTACCTGGCGATGCCCAACGCCTGGTCGCTGCTGCGCAAGGGGCAGAACACGTTCGGGCTGTGGCTTGAGCTGGAGGGAAGCGAAAAGTTCATGGAGGAGGTCGTTGACTTCTACGTCTTCTCTTGCCCGCAGCAGAGACGAGGATGCAAAGAGCATGCCTTCCTGAAGGGGACAGTAGGAGGCCGGATAGGAGGAGGAGGAGGAGGAGGAGGAAGAGGAGGAAGAGGAGGAGGAGAATCAGCATCAGTCGTGGTGAATGAAGCAGGGGAAGAGGAAGGGGAAACAGTCTCGGGGAGCATGGGGAGCAGACTGGCGGGCGTGTGGGACGGCAGAGTTTGCGAGCTGATCTCCTCCTTCAGCGGGGGGGCGATTGAATTTCAGCTCACGGTCATCGAGAGGTTTGTCTTCTTCTTCCTCCTTCTCTTCTTCCTCCTTCCCTTCTTCCCCCTCCTCCCCCTCCTCCCCCTCCCCCTCCCCCTCCCCCTCCTCCTCCCCTCTCCTCCTCCGCGTCTTCCTCCTCTTCCTCTTCCCCTCCCGCCCCCCCGCGGCCCCGCCAGCTCCCTCCTTCTCGTGTAGGCTGACAGGGATAACGCACTTACCATCAGGTATCAGTTCGGCTGCTCCTACCAAGTTCGTTTCCTCCTCCCCGACTCCAGCGGGAACCACCAGGACCGCTGGAGATCTCCTGGCCGAGTCGGTAAGAGTTGACGCCCTGCCCCTATCACCTGCTCCCTCTACACCTGTCCTACCAGTCCCCTCCCGCGTTCT